GGGGCGGGGGCGCTCACGTGCGTGAGGAGGGTCTTGCCGGTGCGTTCCGCGCCGAAGAGCAGCAGCGTTCGCGTGTAGGGCAGGCGCTCGTGCAGCTGCGCGCTGCCGAGCGGCAAAATGGCGAACTCGCTGACCGCCTGGCGGACCTGGGGGCGGGGACGGGGGGCGCGCGGCGCGTCGTTCAGCTTGTGTTCCCGTGTGCATCTCTACGTGACTGGCCGCCAGCGCCGCAGGTAAGGCTTCCGCTCTGATGAGCGCGGGGCCGACGGCAGTGATGCTATGGCGTGAGCAACTTATTTAGCTATATATCTAAGGCGCTGTGGGTGGACCGGCCGGCCTCAGGCCCGCTGGTCGAGCGAGCGGCCTGCCGGTGCGCGCCCCGCGGCCGCGTGTGGGGGGGCATCGTCCAATAGCAGAGGAGGGGGACGCGCGGCGAGCTGGCAACAAAGCAAAGGGCAGCGTGGCGTCAGTGAGCATCATAAAGCCCCTTCCAGGGCCACGCGCTGACCTGGGCCCTGCCCATCAGTGGCAGCTGGAGGGGCACGCACCTGCGCCATCGACGGGTCTGGTATGATGCCGGCCTTATCCAGGGTGGACCCCATGTAACCATACGCCCCCAGGTAGTCCTGGGTTTGAGGGGGCCAAGAGGGGGACGCCCCGCCGGCGGGGCGTGGGTTGTTACAGGCACATGCTGCAGACCGTGCACTGGAGCCTGTGTGGACACACTTCAAAGTTCACGGGCTGAGGATACCCCCCCCCCTCGGGCGGGGGAGACCTGATCGCCCGGTCTCACGCAATCAGGCAGGATGCCCCCGTTCTTGCCTACCCGCAGCCCAGGGCGGCGCAGGTTGCGAAGGCCGGCTGCAGAGGGGCCCCGCGTGTGGGCGGCCCGGCCTCGCCCCTCTCCAACGGAAATTGCGTCGGCTGTGCTGTGTACAACGGGCGTTTTTTCAACACGGCAGCGGCAGCGCGACGCGCCGCTGCGAAGCCCACCTGGATGTGCGCAGGCGGGCAGCGGACCAGGACGCCGTTTGAGACCAGCTCCGCATAGAGCGACTCCATCGACCTGTCGGCCTGAGAGGGGTTCGACAACGGCGCCGCGGGGGGAAGGGGCGGGGGGTTCAGAGGTTTTTGGTTGCGCGTGCAGCAGTTTTGGCGTGATTTTGAAACGTCCGCACCGCCGGCGCCGCTGCCATCAACGCGCGGGCCTGCACGGCGGCGCGCACGTGGGGCTGGCGCGCGTGCGTGCAGGATTGTGTTGAATCGCGTGAGGGGCCGAGTTCCGTGGACGATGCCGCCCAACTGGCGTGATCCGAGGGCCGGCGCAGCCCGCGGTCCGCCGGGACGGCGGCGCCTGCGCACGCTCACACGCGCGTGCGGCGGCCGCCGCGAACGCCAATGGGCGCACCCTCCCCTCCTCCCCCTTGTTACCCTCCCCTCCTGCCCCCAGCAACCCCAAATACACACACGCACACATACACACACACACACACATACACACAAACACACTCGACCCATCCACCCCCCGGCCGTGCGCCTCACCGTGGGATCCTTCTTCTTCTTGCCGCCGCCGCCGGCCCCTTTGGCCTTCTTCTCATTCTTGCCGCCCTTCTTGCCCTGCTCGCCCGCGCAGGGCGTGATAAAGGATGGCGGTGTGATGTGTACAATGGCAGCACAACCTTTATACCCTCCAATGTGAAAGCGCCCAGCGCCAAGGCGCCGCCATCAGAGTATGCCCAGCCGCGCAGCCCAGCCGCTCGCCCGCCCGCCGCGCTGGCAACGATTCGACCGCCGCCCCTTGCAGCGGTTTTGGCGCCTGGTGCTGCTGATGAATCCCCCCTCCAAAACCTCTCACTTGCTGCACCTCATCCCTGATTCCCACCTTCAAAACAGCGTGCATGCACAACTGTGAAGCGCAACACCACACGATGACACAAGCCTGCCTACCCTGCCACCCTCCTGGCTATGCTGTACCATGGCGTTTTGCCACCACCCCTGTGTCAGGGCCCTGCCGGCTGCTCGCCATGCCCCATCCTGGCACAGAAGCTGTCCTTGCTTCTCGCCCCTCACCGCAAACTTTGCCACTGAACAAATTAACGTGAGGTTAAGTGCATCATGCATAGCTGAACAGAGCGGCGCGCGGCCCACAAAATCCACGTGCGGCCTCAAACCTTGAACCAAAAGCCCCACCTTTCCGCCCTTCTTGCCGCCCTTCTTCCCGGCCTTGGCCGCCAGCTCAGCCTCCACCATGTCCCTCAGGTTGGCCAGCAGGGCGCGCATCTCGTCATCCACCTGTAATCGGGCAGTTGAGGGGGGCCCCCGGGGG